AATTAAAAACTTTTGACTTTTTATTTTTATTTCACAAAAGTTGTTCAGTGAGACAAAACCTACCATTTTTACCCGAATGGGTTTGCAAGTTCAAGCTGTTAAACGGAGAGGGTACAAAATATCGTAGTTTTAAGAAGTCCCCCACCCCACCCCCCCAAAAAGGGGGGGGGATAATTTTCAACTTATTGCAGCCACAGCGAGACGTGCAATCTGACATTAGAAGTCCACTTGGTTTTTAATGTCTCTGAGGCTAAAACAAAACAAAAAACAACGAAGATTAAGATGTTGTTAGTTGTTGTTTTTTTATCGCAAAGCTACACAATGGACTATCTACACTCTGTCCATTGCGGGTAATCGAACTGCTGATTTTAGCATTATATGTCCGGAAACACAACGCTGACTTGCTGGGAGGACAGAAGTTTAAGTATTGGCAGTTTAATTTGTTTAATGCCCGAAATCGTGTGAATTCTACTACTCAATTATCATAAAAAAATAGTTACGAAACTACTTTCCATTTTTATTTTTTTGTTGTTGCGGATATTCCCACAAATCCACATAAGGGCTAACAGCGCTAACCCTCCTTGATTTTGAACTGATAGTGACAGATTAGCCTCTAATCTCGCACAGGCGTCGGTAGGCACTGGCACACAGGGCTTGTGCCCCGAATCCCCAGTGTGCCTTGAAAAATCAGAAAAGTTTGTTTGTTATTAAGCACAAAGCTACACAAAGGGCTATCTGTGCTCTGCCCACCACGGGTATCGAAACCCGGTTTCTAGCAGTATAAGTTCGCAGACATACCACTGTGCCACTGGGGGGCAATCAGAAAAGAAAACCGTGAACGATATCATAACGCCGAAAGTTTCCGCGCCTATGGGCCAGAGCCCCGAACCTTTTAAGCACCTAGTGACGCCTCTTGATTAAAGTAGGGTTACCAAACATCTCAATAAAACTGTGATCGTCTCAGTATTAAATGTGGAAAGCAGCCAGTCTACTGTACCTACTGCCTACTCTAATTAAGTAGAGGGATTTGACCTTCACTCTTATAATGCAACCATGGTCCCACAGCGCGGTTGTTTTTTATCACCAATGGGACGCGAACCAGGGACCCTCGGCACACTAACCATTAGGCCACACCCGAACTATTTGCCTTGTAAGGAAGCGTATAGCATGTAAATAAACATTAAGTGTTACTAGTTGATTTTGGAAGGTAAATATAAAACAATGAAAGAACAAAAAAAATCTTATTACTTGCAATTATGTCGTTTGAAGTTAAACACAAAGCTGCACAATGGGCTATCTGTGCTCTGCCCACCACCGGTATCGAAACTCGGTTTCTAGCTTTGTAAGTCCGCAGACATACCGCTGTGCCACTGGGGAGGGGCCAGTAATACAAAGTCTTAGAACCTTCTTTTTTTGTGTGGACTTGATACTTGTCCTATTGGTTTCAGTTTTGGTATTTTAACATGCTCGATACTTTTAGGGATAAATAAAATATATATTTTAAAAATAACTGTATACTTCGAGTTCATGGTTGTTTCATTAGTAATCATTAAGTTTTCTATCGTTAAATAACCAACTAGAGGAATTTAAGTTCCTCACAAGAAACAACAAAAATACCATGAAAATAAAACTTCCTCAATCAAGATTGAAGACAATTATGAAAACTAATAATGTTTCCAAACGTTTCATATATCCGTATCGTCTGAGTTTAAGTTTAAGATTTAAAAATGTAGTATAATTTGTAACACTCTAGTGTAGCTAGCCCAGTGTGTAGTTTTGTGCTATTGTGCTACACAACAACAAACGACTTAGACCCTGCTTTACATTCAGGTTGGGCCTATAAACAAGCTGACAGTTATCGATGAGGTATTTACGCTCAAGAAAATTTCGCATTATATGACTGTTTCACTTTTTTTTTTATCTCGCTAGCACAACTAACGTTTCCAGATAAGGCTATTTCGTGAAGGTGTATTTTATTTTAATTATATTTATGTATATATCTAACTGTCTTTATGGTTTACAGGTTACAAAGACAGATCGAAGTCTTTAATTTCTCGGCCTGGTGATTAGGGCCCTCAATTCGAAATCTATGGGTCGATGGATCGAAACCTGTCTCTTTAGTCTGTTACGTCAAAATTAGGGACGGCTAGCGCAGATAGCCCTCGAGCAGCTTTGCGCGAAACTCGACAGACAAACAAATAAATTTTAATTTATTTTTTGCAGTGAAATATTCCACGGTGTCTGTGGAGTTCAGGTTTGAGAGACAGATCGCACACCACTTGATGCAAGTCTTTGCTCCAAGTGCTTTGATTGTCACTCTGTCCTGGTTGTCCTTCTGGATGGGCTTGGACGCTATTCCCGGGAGGGTCACTTTGTGTGTGACCAGTCTCTTGGCCCTTTTTACGCAGTTTTCTGGCATTAGAGGTGACCTTCCTCCAGCATCTTACATCAATGTAAGTAAACCTCTTCGTTATATATGCTTTCTTTAACCTTCAAATCATCAGTTTGTTTTAATAACGTTCGCTTCAAGTGATGTCCACGTGCAGTTTCATGTTCAAAACTTTTGTTTTAGCCTATTTATAATACAACGCTTTATGTAATTTGTAATAAAAAACTGCCTATAATAGTTGAGTGAAATCACTCATTTTCTGTGTAAAACATTAAGGGAACTCCAGCAGTAATTATTGGAAATTACTTGGTGAAGAAATAATTTAGAAATATGAAATACATGTTAAAAACAAAAGGGAATCCTCAACAGCCGCGGCACTTGAAATTCTTTTAGGCAGGACTAAAGTAAATTAATCTATAAGACCTTTTTTCCCCCTTTTTATTAGCTATATTTCTGTACGCCAAGCGTGGGGCGCACGTATACACGATTCAATTTTATTACTCATCGGGATCTCTACCAGCCTACCCTCAAATTGAAATTCTTTTCGGCAGGATTAGATTAAATTAATGTATGAGGCCTTGGTCAAATACATCAATCGAAAGAATTTGATCTCCTAAGCCCAATACTGTAATTATAGCTCACCACTCCCATGGTGAGGGCGAGTCAATTTCAAGATGTGATACAGATACTTGTACAAATTGGAATTAGTTAGGCGTTTTTTTTTCCATTTTATAATGTTATATGAACTAGTCGGTAACTTATACAGCTTAGGATTATGCTATACTGTTCATTTCAAGGGGGGTACATTTCGTTTAGAGTATGTTCATTTGAGTTGTTTTGGGTGGTGTTTTATGGCTTGGCCTTTTTCTTTTGGGGGGATGAATTGATTAGGGTGCATTCGAGTTAAAATTCTCTTCTGTATGTATAAACTCATCTGTGCTCGTGTTGTTTTAGTCCGGCTTTTTGGGTGTTATGTAACTGTCTTTGACCCTTCACACCAGGGTTTACTGTGTATTTTAGGGTGTTTGTCACTTAGTGTGTAACTGCTGCTCATTACCTAACACTCAGTGGTGCCAAAGTTAATCAAGTTGCTTTTATTTACATAAAAACTATATTTTGTCGTGCTGGAATTCCCACCCGATTTAGGAGTCTCTTTGAAGCGCCATCTTTCTAATATTCATCATTTTTTTTAGTTCCACTTTTAAGAGCTCAAAACACAAGTTTCATTTGTCTCTGCATATAATTGTAAAATTATATAAATTCAAATATAAAACTAATGACTTCCTTTAGTTTCATTGTTTATCGTTAAACTTCTTACAACTTCTTGTTTCATTCAAAGCCGTCAAACATTGTATTTCAGCAACCAACAGCAATTTATATCAATACGAGATTCAGTAAAATGTTTACATGCTGTTAACAGTGTAAAGATAACCTTTAGACCAAAGCTACGGACCCTAAACTACAGTCTTTATATACATCACTCCACTTAACGTCCTATATGGCGGAGTAAACTACAGACCATGTGACTTAGTGACGTCAATACAATACTTCTTGTAGTGTACTTTATCAATTTCAGAGGAAGTTGCTGCGTTACTTTTACTGTAACGCCCTTGATGTAATGCAAGTGTTTATAATATCCCTCTAAAGAGTTAACCTTTATGAAGTTTGATAACCCTGGGGGAGACTACTATTATTCATGTAAAATTTAATCCCTTTGTCTATAGAAAAACCTGGAAATAAAACTGGACAATGAGTATTTTTAATCAATAGAACTTGACCCCTTAAAGTGGGTGCCCCTGTAAGTAGAGTGATACTTTTTTTTTTAAGGGTACCGATATATGGATGGCCACATGTATGCTGTTCGTTTTCGCAACTTTAATGGAGTTCGTTGTTGTGAAGTTTCTGGACAAACGAAAACAACTTTATTTCCGAAGTCAAATAAAAAACTCCTTCAGTTCGTCTGAATCTGGATTTGGTTCCACGGTAAGTTTTAGATCTACCTTTTTTGTTGCCTGTCACTGATTAGGAATTTCACATAGCCGTCACCCTCACCCCCAATTAAATGGGGGTCTATTATCACTGCTCCCCCCCACACATATTTTACTGATAACAATTCTTTATTTAGTATTTTTCTATATAGGCGATATACACAAAAACCATTTCGAAAAACGTGCCATATTAAATGTACATGACAAAGGAAAAGTGTAAAAATGTGACTTTTTAGTACACAGCAAACAGTTTTGTTTCGTATGTACAGTACTTATTATTACGTAAACTTGTCGAATGATGTTTTAAAGTGTTTTTATTGATTGTCAGGTAATTCTTTATCCAACAGTCACAAAACAAATCTTATAAGTCACCAATGTAATCTTTACCCAACAGTCACAAAAACAAATCTTATAAGTCACCAATGTAATCTTTATCCAACAGTCACAAAAACAAATCTTATAAGTCACCAATGTAATCTTTATCCAACAGTCACAAAAACGAACCTTATAAGTCACCAATGTAATCTTTATCCAACAGTCACAAAAACAGATTTCACAAGTCACCAATGTAACTTTTATCCAACAGTCATAAAAACAGATCACGTAAATTAATAAATCAAATCTTATAAGTCACCAATGTAATTTTTGTGACTGTTGGATAAAGATTACATTGGTGACTTATAAGATTTGTTTTTGTAACTGTTGGATAAAGGTTACATTGGTGACTTATAAGATTTGTTTTTGTGACTGTTGGATAAAGATTACATTGGTGACTTATAAGATTTGTTTATGAGACTGTCGCTTAAGTCACCAGTTTAACCGTTAAGAAAATAATTATTCATCGACAATCCACCTCTTCTAAATAACCACAGGGTGAACTTTGATTACTGTACTGACATTTCAAATTTGGACCTGTACGTAGCATTCCGTAATTCTGTTAATACTAGCAAGTATCGATTTGCTAACTTTCATAGCTTGCTTGACTGTATTTGGACAACGTAGACGCCTTTAGTCAAATAGAAGTATAACATGCATATTAAACAGCTTTAAAAGTATTCGCTTGGAGACCAAATGTGAACTGATTATCTAAAAATATCAATTATAATATATATTTAATATAAATATAAAAAAGTTGTTTAATATACTTTAAAATTCTGATAATAAATAAACCACCCTTTTAAAAAATGAATCATGGAATGGGTTTTAATCATAAAATGTGTTTTGTTCTTGACGAGTACACTGGAATGGGCGGCGTTGTCTAAAGGACAACGTTTCGAAAGTATTTCGTCTTCACACGCAATGTAACTCTAGAGTCATTTTGTTTTCCTCCCATCTTTGTCGCATTACGTGGTTCGGATAAATCCTAAGTAAACTTTACTAAATACAAATTATTCATACCCTTTTAATACTTACATTTTCAATGGATATACCGAATTGGTTAACAAAATGTATGCAATTCTTTTCCCAACGTTTCGACAGGAGCACACTACTGTTAAGCCTAAGGTACAACAGACGAAACATTAATATCTTTAGTTTGAGAACGAGCTCACGCTTTTGAAGAATATGCAATTATGCAAGTCGCACCTTATAATTATCAAAAATTAAAGTAATTTGTGGTATAAAATATGAACTTAGAAATATACATAATCAATCCTTGTCACCAGGTGTCGCTGCAACTCCCACAGGCCAGCGATGACAAAATAATCTTGCCGAAAGAGGTCGCTCCTCGCTTTGCCTGGAATGTGGCTTCGCAGCACGACAGTCACCAATGGTTCAAGCCACCGTCTTGGTCTGTGGACTGGGTTGTCACTATTGATTATTCTTGTCGATTGTTATTTCCTGCGTCGTTTTTAGTGTTCAACACTGTTTATTGGCCTGTGCTACTCAACAGACATCTATAAAGGAAAAAAACATTTTACCAAAGTTTCTTGCTAGAAGCACGTATTGCCTAAATAAATTCTTCAATATATCTGCATGTTTATCTGAATAAAAGCCTAATTTCATGATTAGGAGCTTTAAAGTCAGAGGCTAATTTTACATTTAACATAGATAAACTATATGTATATTATGTAAAAATAAGGAGTTAATATTTACATCCAAAGGAAGGACTTCATTACGAACAGCAAGACCAAACTTGTGATGAAATAAAACATATTTATAACACCAGAACGCAAAAACGGCCACCAGGATACAGGCTATAAAGTGGGATACGTGTCCCGATTTTTGGAGGTGACTTCAGAAGTAGCACCCACATAGCGGTGGGATACACCATCTATCATGATGGGTGTCGTACCAGTTTAGACAACTTGGAAGAGGGTAAAAGTTGTCTGCTGTGCTACTAACAATTCCTCATTAACTTGAGTTTTTACCCTTATAACGGGGGCTGAAATGCCAAATTCAGAAAGTAAGGTTTTATTACTTATCACTCCCAGTGGTAGGACCTTTTATTTCTGAGAATGGTCACCTTCCCACAACTCCCTGCAGACAGTGAAGGATATGTGGGGTTGAGCACCCACATCTTGTTTTACTATTTGTTTTTTCTTACCTGTGCTAACGGAGGTTAAGGCACCTCCAAAAATCAGGACACGTTACAACCAGCGTACAGGTTACTTTGTTGTTTATTTGGTTAAGACTTGTTTTATATTGTAAATACAAACGATATTCTTCCGAGTTAGATGGATAAATCCAATACCAGGCAGGTATTTATACGTTATTCAACACGCTATGAAAAAGTTTACAAGCTTTTAATAAAGTTTTAATTTATTTTAAAAATCGGCTTTGTGAGTTTTAGGTTTTACCAACTAAAGGCTACGAACGAGAGAAAACAAAACGCCACAAATGGATATATGGCATGCAAAACAATTACTCACTGTTTATGTGAATATGAAGAGCTAAACCCGTCAAACAATTTGTCTGAGAGTAAAGCTTGTAGAATAAGAACTTCTTTAAAGTTTCCATAATCTCAAGATTATGAATATTTTCTTTCTTAATAAATAAATTGTTCTATACTTTAGGAAACAGATCGTTAATCAGACGTATAGAAGCTTAATTTACGACATTATTACTTAAGAACGTTGAAGGGGGCGCAGTTGTAGCTATCGGAAGATCTCAAACGATCATCATATTAAAATGCTGAGAAATAACGTACAGAAGCCAGTGCCGTTACATTTTAATTAAAGTCTAATGGAATTAATTAAATAATCAGGACGTGAAATTTTGACATTTTATACGCCCACTAATTTCAGAATTTTTTTTTGTAGCAAGGGTCTAGTTGTTTATATTTACATATCTTGTCTTACAATATTAGTCCTGATGTGAATAATAATTATATAATCATTTGTGAGTTCTATATGTAATTAATACAGATAAATTCACCAAATGTTCATCATCCTATTATTTCAGTTTTGTACCAGTAAATATAACTGTTTTATTGTTCACTGCAGATTTTAAGATAACTACTTACGTTACTGGTTGAGTAATTAAGCCGAATTCTTGTCACTTAATTTTTAGTCACGTAAATTGTCAAGATAACCGAATCCTGAGAAATAAAAACTTTTACAAGTTGCTAGTTTCAGATTTTATTCCATCTTTAGTTGCATGCTATTCTTATTCTTGACAAATTCGGTCAGGATAAGTTATTGCAATCTCGTAATCTTTAATGCTCTTAGTTGGGTTCATCAAAGTTGTTTATATCACATTCGATACAATTACATGACAACTATCCAAGAGCATTACAATATTCTCTTGATGAAATAATTTAGTACGGCAGGTTTTTATAAAACTACCTGCAAAACGAGGAATCTTTAAGCTCTTATACAAAAATGATATATCTCTGTTTCAAGTAGGCTTAATATTCGTTTATTGGTTTAACCTTTCTGCTGGAAACCTTCAGCAGGAGTTCTGTATAGACATATTCTCTGGTGTTAGTAAGTTCAAAATTTATTAGCTTTAGCTATAACATTTCCTCGGGAGTTCTAAACAGAATAATATAGATATCTTTGGTATCGGTAGGGTTAGAATGTGTTTATAGTTTCAAGTTTCAGACGTAAGCCTTTCTCAGGTGCTCTAGTCAAGCTAGTTAATCTGTAGCCCCGATTGAAGTTTTATGTACATGAAGGATTATCGGCTAAACGTTGTTAGTAAAATAATATTAAGTCTATTTGGAATTGTAGGACATGTTTATCTGTAAGAAATAGTCTTTGTAAATAGTGTTGTCTTTTTAAGAATTGTGGGATAGTGTGGTCTCATTGATCATACAAAAACTTAGATCGACATCAATCATAAGTTTTCTTGTTAATGGAAAAAGAAACTGATTGATTAAACAATGTTTGAAGCTATTTAATAATGGAAGTTTTCTCTATAACTTCCACAGGTTCTTTGTAAAGATAGGCAATTATAAATGCACTATTGGTGGCTATTGTACTCGATATGGCTTCCAATCTATGCCATTTTGACTTAACTTTATTGGCAGCATGTCCTTTGGTAATGAGATAATAGCTGTATGTAAGTATATATTTCAAGATGAAATTCCTAGCATTTGGTCTTTACAGTTCTAATTTGTTGACCTGAAAGAACCACCGTTCCTTTCAAACTAGAAGAACACAGAAAACATAAGATGGATCATTTGAGATATAAGAGTGGTACAATTGTTTCTGGTAACACCAATACATATAGCTTAGGATTGGTAATTGCTGTAGTTATATTTTATCTGTAAAATTCATGGAATATTCTTTCAATAAATCCTACAGTACCATAAAGTCACACAACACTAGCTAACAGTTTTAAATATGCTGTCAATAAATCCTACAGTACCATAAAGTCACACAACACTAGCTAACAGTTCTAAATATGCTTTCAATAAATCCTATAGTACTTT